TTTTAGGATGTCCCTGTTTCATAAGACTGGGGAAGGATAAATACATTAAATATGGGAGATTTTCTGCTCCATATTAGCGCCCCAATAGCACGGTGAGGTCCTGATTGACACCGGAGATCCCAGGTGCTGCTGTGACTGATAATCTTTGCTTCTTGTAGTGGCTGCAGCACATCTGAATTGCTGCTGGCACCACAGAGCGTTGTTACGGCTGCTCAGGGCAGCTCTTTCTGGAGCTCTGATGCCGGCTTTACTGGCAGATTGTGTGGCTTGCCCATGCAGCACAGCTCAGGGTTGTTGCTAAAGACTGACCCAGCCTGCGTTCGAGGACTGAGGCGCTCGGCCAGATTTATTATCGAAGAAACAGTACTAGTGTCTAGGGGTGTAAATGACTAGCTGCTTTCCCCCCCTTGCTGCCTCTATCAGCAAGGGAGGGGGAAAGACGAGGGGGTGCTTCGAAGTGGCAGCACTGCATTGAGCCTGGGCCAGACCCTGGCTCCACATGGCGTTGCCGCTTTGAAATGCTGCGTGCAGCCTGGGCCAGCTGGGACTGGCTCGGGCTGCATGCAGTGTTTCAAAGCAGCAGCGCTGCATGGAGCCCTGTCCGAAGTCCCACATGGTGCTGCTGCTTTGTAGAGCCTGATGCTGGGCTCCCCCCGGTGTTTCAAAGCGGCAGCGCCACATGGAGCCTGGGGTCGGCTGGGGACTCCGCCGATGATTGCTTGAGTCCCCCGCTGGCCCTGTGCTCTCCGCAAAGATGAAAGCGCTGAAGTGCAGCTGTTGCTACACTTCAAAGCAGCATCACCCTTATCGACTAATCGAATAGTTGATGCAAATTAGCCAAATCAAAATTTTACATCCCTACTAGTGTCCCGGCTCCCCGGGCACAGAGACAGACGTGTCCCACCCCCACAGCGGTACTGGCTCAGTCAGCAACCAGAACACTGCCCCTCCGACAGCACGAGCATGTCCTGCCTGTGACTTCTCCTTTCGTACATTGACAGAAACAAGGTGCACGTTGCTACCCCCCTATCCTTGTGCCTGCTCATTTGAACAAAACATCCGTATCCATTATCCCCTCATCCCTCCGATTTGCACAGAGGGTCAGTGTGTTCCTGAGCCATCGCTTAGGAATGCGTGTTTGCAGTTACTGCAGAGATCAGTAAGTTTTGTATCCTCTTTGCCCATCTGGAGTGCCCTTACATGGTTAGTGTAAAGATGTAATAGTATCACCACTTAAAAGTTTAACTGGTATCGGCTTATTGGTTGCTGTTAAGTTACACACTGGTTCCCAGCCTGCTCCCGGGGTGGCGGCTGCCTCCCCGTGCTCTGGGCCCTGTAGCATAAGCTTTATACTGCAGAACCTGCAGCCTGTAACCACCCAAATTTTCAGCAGTTACATGGTTACCCAGTTACCTGCTTTCTAACATCCCTGGTTAGCTGACACCTAGTGCACTACCTTTCTGCCAATACGCGGCCTATTCTGGGTCCCAGGCATTGGTTCACCCAGTCATGCCAAGGGCTCCACCAAGGCCTCCCTTCCCCTGCTTGTGTTTTTTATAGGAGGGTGTTTACTCGTCATCCTGTAAAAGCGAAAACTGAAAATATGCAGTGGGCTAACCACTGTTTCTTGGCCAGTTTGCTTTGCCTATCCTGACGTTCATGCCCCCCTGTGTCCAGTGGCTTCCATGTTGTCTCATTCAACCTGTGGACAGGTTTTTCCCCCATCAAGTTGTTTTCAGTTATCCGATAGTGCTTTGTCAGGACTGAGTGTTGGTTACTGGACACTGAGCAGGATGGTTTGGAACCCCATGTGCCTGAAGATGCAGTCGCACTGATCCAAGTCACAGAATGCACCTCCTGCTACGCCTCTCCCTGCAGTAGTGTGTGACCTTTACCAGAGTGAGAAGGTCGCCGACGCGGAGGCCTGGAGGCACGTGGGGCCACGTGGGCAGTGAGTAAATGCAAACGTTAAGGCAGAAGTGCAGCAGGAGTCTCAGCAAGGGGTTCTGGAGGAGACAGAAGAGGGGCTGTAACTCTGGCACACTCCAGCTACAGACAGGCCTGGGCCCTGGGTCTCCCTCTCGCCCAGACTAGACAAGTGCCAGGGAATGCTGAAAACAGAGTCGGCAACACGCCTGTGCTCCATGGCAGAGCCCAGCCAACTCAGATCCCTGCTGGGCCGTGCAGTTGAGGTGGAACATGGGCTGGCCCCCCAGAGCGCATCGTCCTGACGGAAGGCGGCAAGTCCAGCCAGTGCGTATCTGGGCAGGACACGAGTCCAAGGGAATGGCTCATCAGTATGAGTGTGCAGAGCTTGTCCAGCGATGGGACCCAACAGGAGTCACTGGAAGGGGAGATTCAGAGTGTTGGGTGGGAGCCGATGAGGCAGGGGCCTGATGTCAGGCTTCAGTGAACCAGGTGACACAGCAGGTGGGGAACGCTGGGCATGAGAACATCCCCAGAGGCAGGGGCAGAGCAGCCTTTACCTCCTGGAGCCCACTGTGGAGGACATGGTGAGTCAGCAGCGGTAGGGTCCTGCCAGCCTTTCTCCCTGTAGTCACTGGCTTTGGTGACACCAGCCAAGACCAGCCTCTGGGGCACCCAAAGGGCCTCCACCCCATGCCACAAGGCAGGGGGAGGGGGTTGTGCAAGAGGAGGTCAGGCAGGAGGTCTCCACTCTCGGGACATGTGAGAGGTCTGGTTGCAGCTCAGCTTCCAGGCCCTGAGGAGATCTGTGCAGCTCTGAGAGACGTGGGGCCGCACGCTGCTGGTGCTAGCAGAAAAGCGGGTGGCAGGGGAGGCAGGCGTAAGGGCACAAGACTCTGAAAGTGACTATGGGGGATTCCGCTACTTGCCGCTCTCCATTCTGCCACTGCCCATCTTTC